ATGTCATTATCCACAGGTCCAGCCAGGTCTATTAAACTTTCTGGGCTACTTAGTAACTGCTCAAAAAGATACAATATAAACTGCAGTTAGCTGATGAAGTCCAAATTTTCCGCTTTACATATCCAAAATTCCGCGTTTCTCCGCGTTGTAAATTTGGCAATTTTCCGACTTTCAAAAAAAACTTAAAAGCATACTATTAACTATTTACTTACCTCATTGTAGGCGCCCCTCGATGTCCCCATTAAATTTTAACATAAGGAGTTCTTTTGTGTGCCGCTCTGTGAGATTCTCGCGGCGATCGGTAAGCATGTGTTTATATTGGGAAAACGAACGTTCGTTCGAACGAAAGCGATCAGCCGTGCGTATGAGATCGCGAGCGAAATACGCTGTCGTGAGTTAGAGCGGGCCGCGCAAGTTTCTGTTTCTGTTTCTGTTTCTGTTGTAGTACGTTGCAGTATCAAAATTGGCATCGAGGCAACTGAATCGGGAGAGGACTAATTATTTTAGAATTGATGTTGGCTGAGCTTAGATGTAAATGTTAATTCAAGTGTGAAAATTGACTGCATTGCAAAAGCGCGAATTGTCCATGGAAATTTCCGATGAGGTGATGCAAATCGGATTGCTATGATGCAGATGGGAGATCGATCATAGGCCTACTACGTGCGTTATTATGGTGAAATATTAGCTCTATATATATATAGTAACTACAGCGGCATAGCCCGCGTACAGTTGCCGCAGGGCGGGCTATAGTTACTAGAGCTAGTGAAATATTAATTTATTGAGTTTATTAAGATGAATTTAAAGCAGATTTTCTTCCTATTTTTTTTTTTCCAAAACTGCGTTTTTCGCGATTCACGAAAATTCCGCGATTCACGCAAATTCCGCAACGCGGAAAACTTTGGACTTTAAGTTAGCATAACACAAGAGCCATTGGCATTATACTGACATGATAGAAAGCGCAGATAGCATTGATAAATAGCAACATTCAACTTTCAGCTATTCATTCAACGTTTTACATGCAATTTACTTGGAAATGCGCCTCTCTCTACAGTTCCAATCTCAGTATATTATTATGCAGAGAAGAATTTCTATACTGCTTGTACAAAACACATAAAACAAAGGCAATGAAAGCAAAAATGTTTTCATTAAAACTCTGACTTGGATTTCTGGCTGATTAAATCAGATGAATAACTTCTCTCGATTTTTTAAGCAAACACAAAAAATATGGCAATAATTTAATAAAAGGTTTAGAACCAGCACATTTTTTAGCAAGTTGGGACAGCCAAAACATAGTACAGGTTTCACTTGGCTTTAACAGATCTTACCCTACTTGATTTACATAGGAACGTACCATCGTAACTAATGCTTAGCATATCCCTTTGGCTACAATAAGCATATATATATATATATAATCACACTCAAGAGAACCCGTATAAGTGTGATGCTGCCTTCTCCGTTTTGGGTAGTCTGAAGACACACATGAGAAGTCACACAGGAGAGAAACCGTATAAGTGCGAGCTGTGTTATGCCGCCTTCTCAATATCAGGTAATCTGAAGACACACCTGAGAACTCACACGGGAGAGAAACCATATAAGTGCGATCTGTGTGATGCTACCTTCTCCTTCCTCGGTCATGTGAAGACACACCTGAGAACTCACACGGGAGAGAAACCATATAAGTGCGATCTGTGTGATGCCGCCTTCTCAGATTCGGGTGCTTTGAAAAGACACATGAGAACTCACACTGGAGAGAAACCATACAAGGTTAGTGCGAACTGTGTGATGCTGACTTCTCAGAATCGGGTGTTCTGAAGAGACACATGAAGACTCACACGGGGGAGAAACCATATAAGTGCGATCTGTGTAATGCCGCCTTCTCAGATTCGGGTGCTTTGAAAAGACACATGCATGAGAACTCACACTGGAGAGAAACCATACAAGTGCGAACTGTGTGATGCTGCCTTCTCAGATTCGGGTAATCTGAAGAAACACATGAGAACTCACACGGGAGAGAAACCGTATAAGTGCGATCTGTGTGATGCCACCTTCGCACATTCAGGTAATCTGAAGACACACATCACACGGGAGAGAAAACGAAGAAGAAAAAGACGAAAGTAAAAATCATTTAAATGTAACATTTGAAGTGAAGAATTAGCTCTGAAAACACCCTATTATCACACATGGCTATGCATAATAACTCTAGGGCGATGCCGTACAGATGTCAGCAAAAAGTACATCTCGAACTGTCCGACTCACATGTAAGATCAGCTTGGCTCTATGAAGAAGCGAGCATACTGCACACATGTGTACGGGAGCAGTGTGGAATACATACAAATGCAACTCAATTGTTACAGTTTCTTTCCAAAGTGGAAGCTGGGCTAGGAATTAATTGAGAAAGTATTGAAACCTTTAAGGTATACTACTACTTGACTGTGTCATGTTTTTTGAGTGTTTTTAATCTACCTAATGTAACTAACATGTGGCCATGAAAGCTTTTTGTAAATAACCGTACGTTTGAACACTTCTAATAAAACGCATTGCCGTATTATGATTCAGCAGCGCAGTTAGTATAAGTTTGAGTGAAAATATGCACGCGAGGTAGCTGGCGCAGGCTATTATGTGCGAGTGTTGTGCACACGCGGTATCGCGCATAGGCTATTATACACGGGGCTATGGGTGGTAGGAATGTATACTTGCTCTGATATCTCGTGAACGAGTGAGGTGACATTTCTAGAAATTCTCCCAATCATAGACACATGTCGTAGCTATGATCTACGTGAGTGTTGAGTTTAATAAAGCGCGGTTAGTTTAATTAGAGTGAAAATATGCACGCACGGTATCGCGCATAGGCTATATAATAGGCAGTGGCAGGAGGTACGGCAGCCGTATCTCTAATTAACGAGGCTGGAGTTACGGCAGTCCATTCGCTTTCATTCTTCACGAGACAAAGATGGCGGCGGATGGTAGCAGGTTTTTAAAAAACGCATTGGGAAATAAATTCACGATTTGAGAGTTTTGATGAGCTAGAAACACTCGGATTAGGTATGAAAATGAACATTATTGTAAACTTTACAACACAAATAATTGCTTCAGCCCTCAAACAAACGCCAAAAAGGGGCTTCAGTGAACGACGGCTGCTGTACCTTTATCCACTCCGTATATTATACGTGGGGCTATGCGTGGTAGGAAAGTATACTACAATAAAGCGCAGTTAGTTTATGTGATATTTTCTTATTTTGGTTATTCATTTGTACACTCATGAGCCGGTGGTTCGTTATATGATAATGCGTCTGTACTAAATCGTGATAATGCTGGGTGCATTGGATCAAGAACGATTTGGGTAAATTAAGAGCCGCACTGCATGTACAGTCAACCTAGCGTTAGCAGATACCACTATAGAAAATAACGTCTATCTATGAGACAGACCTACGGCCCACTGCCTCGATCTAACACCGTAAATCCGTGAGTATATCAGCGATCTATCTTCTACTACATCTGTTTCGCGCACGATCGCGGCGATTTTTCATATGATCACAGCGATTTTTCCCGCACGTACCGAGCACGCACGTGAGTCGTGCGGCTTTCTGCAGTCCATCCAGACTCATGCACACGGCGTCGTGCGCCTTCTGATTCTGTTCCTTATCGAACAGTAGACTCAGACTCTCCGTGATACCTGCAACGAGGTAGCTTAACGTGAGTGGCACTTTGGAAAGTGCACCCTACTGGCCCTACTGTCGCTCCCCGACAATAGCCAGGAGGGTTAATTGGGGCACATTTAAGGCTCTCCTTAACTGGGAACTGATCTTAGTGACGTCTAGTGAGCGAAAACGCTAACTATGAAGGATTCTGTCCATTTAAACAATAACACTCGATTCAACGATTTAAACGATTTCGACGTAGTTTTTCAACAGCAGTTTGAATTCTGTGAAGTGTAGTGAAATATCCGTTCAGCAGTAGTTAGCATTAAATCCTATAGTGGTGCAGACCTAACTCTTGTGGTTTATAAATGAACTCTCATAAATATGCATTAACACATAGAGCCTCTATCATCAGAATGATCACCATCGAGAACATCACCATTACCATCATCATCATCATCATCACCATCATCATCATCATCATCAGCAGCAGCAGCAGTAACAGTAGCAGCAACTGCAGCAGTGTTGTCATTGTCAACATCATTGTCAACATCATCATCATCATCACCATCATTATCATCATCATCAGCAGCAGCAGCAGTAGCATTAACAGTAGCAGCAACTGCAGCAGTGTTGTCATTGTCAACATCAACATCATCATCATCATCATCATCATCATTACTATCGTCGTTATCAACAACATCTTTTGTGTGATCATGATTTCTTTACTAGAGCTTACCGCAGGAGTTTTTCCCATTCAGCAGCACAGATAGCACCTCTAGTACATTGCTCCAGCAAGCAGACAGCATGTGGCCGGCTAGTTTCTGACCTGAAGTGAAAACGCATATAGTGTGAGCATGCTCCAACGACTAGGCTTGCTAAAATCGGTAGGTTAAAAAATGTTACGAAAGTAGATTACAATAGTTTGTTCGATGTCTATGAAAATTTGGATTCGCATCATTTGTATTCACCCATCAAGCAACAACTATGGCATATCTCCAACAGCATTTTTACGATTCTTCCCATTGCCTTCCCTCAACAAGTAAATGATTAAATGTGGCTTGTTTTTCTAATTTAGAGAGTAAGGTTTTGTTTTTTGCACGCGGCATCTTCACTAGCTTTCAAAGATTCACCGGTCAACATATTTCTGTAATATAGTGGCAGCCGTCGATGAAAACTCTATGAACTATATCTTGCGCAATAGCTATGATATGATATATATCATGATATATCTGATGCATGATGCACGGCGCAACGTGACACAGCACGACACGGCACGATGGAATGCGACACGACATGGCACAGCATGACACACCTGATCTTGCGCGTCTGTGTCGCGCAGCTCCATGCACAGCAGGTTCTCTCAACACGACAGAACACGACATGACATAACATAACAGAACACAATGTAACATGAGACGATGCGACGCGGCACGGCACGGCACGGCACGGCACGATGCAACACACCTGGTCCTGCACGTCAGTGTCGCACAGCTCAGGCACAGCAGGTTCTCTCAACACGACAGAACACGACATGACATAACATAACAGAACACAATGTAACATGACACGATACACGACGCGGCACGGCACAGCACGATGCAACGCACCTGGTCCTGCACGTCAGTGTCGCACAGCTCCATGCAGAGCAGGTTCTCTCAACACGACACAACACGACATGACATAACATAACAGAACACAATGTAACATGACACGATACGACGCGGCACGGCACGGCACGGCACGATGCAACGCACCTGGTCCTGCACGTCAGTGTCGCACAGCTCCAGGCACAGCAAGTTCTCTCAACACGACACAACACGACATGACATAACATAACAGAACACAATGTAACAGTTACATGACACGATACACGACGCGGCACGGCACGGCACGGCACGATGCAACGCACCTGGTCCTGCACATCAGTGTCGCACAGCTCCAGACAGAGCAGGTTCTCTCAACACGACACAACACGACATGACATAACATAACAGAACACAATGTAACATGACACGATATACGACGCGGCACGGCACGGCACGATGCAACGCACCTGGTCCTGCACGTCAGTGTCGCACAGCTCCAGGCAGAGCAGGTTCTCGAACGGCTTGAAGAGCGCCTCGCAGAAGTGGAAGTGCGGCAGCTCCTGCTGTGATCCCAGCAGCGCGTTGATCACGTCGTGAATGTAGGAGACAGCCTTACGCGAGATCGCAATCAAGTCATGTTTTATGTCACGCACATCACATGACAAGCCACACATCACCCCACAGGTTTCCTTCATACAACCGGTGGGAATCACGTGATCGCTGTCATAGCCACCAAGGATGCTGTACATCGACCTGGGATGCTGAGACACGCGACAGGACGATAGGATGCGGGGATATGAGGCTATGGCAGCCGAAGTTCGTTGCATATATATATATATGGGCAATTCCACGGTGACTGACGTGACAATTTTTGTCTTTTCTGAATATTCAGCTCAGATCTTAGACAACTTATAGTACCTTCTTCCTCCAAGTATTTAGTATGTAGGTAGTACAGACAGATACCTTCAGGCGCGGATTTAGGCCGGTTTGCACCGGTTTCCAGAAACCGGTCACAGGCTGGGTATCTTCAGAATTGACCCTCAAAATTCACCAGAATGCACCAAATATAGCCTAATTTTGTAAAAATTCCCGGGGGGGGCATGCCCCCGGACCCCCTAGCTGTGACTAGAACTATGGAAACTGGTCACTCAAACCCTCTGGATTCGCCCCTGACCTTCAAATTTATATCAAAAGTTTCAGAATCAATAAAGAGCATAGCACATAGGCGACCCTTATCTCACTGTGATTGACGTGACAGTAATCGGACAAAGATATATTTCTAAAAAATTCATTTTCAAATTGTCTGAAGTTTACAGCAAATATCAACACAGTTTTTACTCTTTTAATTAACCAATGAACTATAATAATTAAACATATATTATAAACAATCAATTGCAATTATGATTAATTAAAGGCATAATAAGCCCATTGCTTATGCAATGTTGACAAATGCTAGAGTAAAGATCTGGCACCTTGTGTAGTTAATAAGTACATAACCTTACATCCAAACGCGTATTAGTTTGTCCAATATCACTGCTGGTTACTAAAAAATGTCTAATTGAAATCCGCAGTCCAAGAAATCAGTTGTTTACAGTTTCAAACAGCACCGGACATTTTTGCACGCATGCTCGGCCGTACGCAATTGCTATCATCAGTGATTTCGTAAACATGGACACTCGTGATAAGGAACTTTTTGTCAGGGCTGTTCACGTGCATCCGTAATTAGTACGTGTGTTTTACTCTATTTCCATGTTTAGTCCGTGTCCGTGGTTACATGACATTCGCACAAATGTTTACGTCATCGCTCGACTCCTGGATGACATTTACGGCACGTAAATGATACGTTGATACATATCAACAACCGATTTCAAGTCGTTGTTAGTAATGTAACCAGCAGTGATATTGGACAAACTAATACGCGTTTGACTATAAGGTTATATGTACTTATTAACTACACAAGGTGCCAGTTACTCTAGCATTAAGTTACATTATGCCTTTAAAAAGAAAATTCACCATGACTGACGTGACAACTAATCACGTCAACTTACCATTTAGTATAAACAGTTATAATATTGTAAGGTAAATTAACACTACAGTTAGAATTCTTACATTGCATTAATTATACTATTAAAAAGAACATTAAACAATAAAGTTATCTGAAAATTATACAATATAACATTTCATTTTCCTACCATTTGCACCAAAAATACAATTTTTCAATCATTCACCCAAAACCAGGAAAGTCATAGTTTTCATGAGCATTTATCAATACTGGAGGATTGAGCCTCTATATTAGCGAAGTAAATAAATGTATATTCATGAGTTGGCCATTTCCAGAACCTGCCAGTCCTGATCATAACAGAAACTTCCAATCCCTCATCTCTTACTGCATTTACTTACCCCAGATAAAATGCACCTAAATATTCAGTCACTGCTTAAGTTTAAGCTCTGCCTAAGATTCAAGACATCTTAACTCTCCTAAGTTTATCTTAGTTAAATTCATCTTAAAATTGGTTTCTCAACCATTGTCAAACTTAACCAAGATGTCTTAATTTGACTTTAAGATGTCCCTCAGATCTTATAATGGCTGCCATTTCTTAATTTTCCTCCACTTCAAAGTTTATGACTGTTAAAAATAAACAAAACACTTGCTAAATGTTTGTGTTTTGGCTGAAGTACGTCAGTTGTTGGTATGCACTGAGTCTACCTTTAAAAAGATACATTTGAGTAATTTTCTCTTTGGAAATTACCATTGTTGTAATTAACTTTGTTGTGAGCTAGCAGACAACATGTGTGTCATTGTGTGTGTGTACAGACTGTTATATTGTTGTTTGACACTGTTTGTGCTTTGAAAACACCAAACAGATTTTATGGAATGAAAGTTAATCATTTGGTCTGAATTTGGGGGCTTTTGTGGCTGATTTTAGCCTCTAAATGGGATATGTTAATTTTAAGACAAGCTTTAAGCAAGGTCTGAGGTCGTTTAAAGTTAAGACAAAGTTTGGCAGATATGTCTTAACTTTAAGATCCTAGATAGAAATAAATACAATATGTGACTGACGTGACACACCTCAAAAATTCTGACTGACGTGACAGTTTTCAGTAGCATACTGTGTCCTGTCCTGATCAGAATTAAAGCTTTTGTTTATTAATTCTGGTAGCTTATGGTCATTACTAAGAGAATCATGAGTATCTTCAAAAATAATAAAGGTATAGGTCTGATATGGAGAAAATTATAACTTTTCGTGACTGAGGTGACACTAAATTAGCATGCTCATTTTTCTTACAGTGTTTGAAAACTAAAGATTACTTTGGCATGTTTCACCTTTCCATTGATGAATTGTAGCTAGAATATGGGATGATCACTAGACACAAAATGTATAATAAAAATTAGAAAATTTTCACATTTAAATAAATTACGGTGAAATTCGAAAATCAACACTGCCATGTCAGTAAAAAGTTGTTTTCAAATAACTTAAATGAGTTTTCTTGCAATTACAAACATTTTTTGTACTGAACTATTGAATTATTTATATTTTATTTATATAGTCTAAAGTCCAAAATTTTCCGCTTTACATATCCAAAATTCCGCGTTTTCCGCGTTGCAAATTTGGCAATTTTCCGACTTTCAAAAAAAACTTAAAGCATACTATTAACTATTTACTTACCTCATTGTAGGCGCCCCTCGATGTCCCCATTAAATTTTAACATAAGGAGTTCTTTTGTGTGCTGCTCTGTGAGATTCTCGCGGCGATCGGCAAGCATGTGTTTCTATTGGGAAAACGAAAGCGATCAGCCGTGCGTATGAGATCGCGAGCAAAATACGCTGCTGTGAGTTAGAGCGGGCCGCGCAAGTTTCTATTTCTGTTTCTGTTTCTGTTGTAGTACGTTGCAGTATCCAAAATTGGCATCGAGGCAACTGAATCGGGAGAGGGCTAATTATTTTAGAATTGATATTGGCTGAGCTTAGATGTAAATGTTAATTCAAGTGTGAATATTGACTGCATTGCAGTAGCGCGAATTGTCCATGGAAATTTCCGATATCCACACTGATCGGCACCTCTACATGCAAGGCAGCTTTCTCCAACCTCCTGTAGTCACTCAGCAACTGGTCTCCCTGCTGGGGCGTTCCCACATTGTCTACATCTGAATGAAAGATGGCGGCGTTACAGAAACGACAGATTGTGATTAATAATGAATGCTCCCTACAGTTTGATTAGTGTATAACATGCCGACATGGAAGTCGGGTTACAACTATAATACGTTAATTACTAAGTACTACTACTAACAATGATACGTCTGTGAATAATGCAGTCCTATCATTTAAGATCGATTGTTTTTTGTTTGTTTGTTATGCACTACTTGATTTAAGATATGGTATGCATATCAGGAGTAGATAATAGGGAATTCCCTATTATCTACTCCTGATGCATATTTAGCGTATTCTAATATTTATAATGTATTAACGACTGATATTCTGCCATTTACTCTCTCTCTCTCTCTCTCTCTCTCATTGGTTATATACAATGCATTTCAAACTCTTGAAAAAATTGTAAACTAACAAGAATATGTTAAAAAAGATTAGAGAACAATATGAAAACTGATAAATGATTGTAATAACACACAACGATTGCCATTCTATCACATGACCAAGCATAAAAACTAACACGTGACAAGTGAACACGCAAGTTGTGCTATGTGTACGGACTAGAGACAGAAGAGATGCTTATCCGTACATATATCTACATACAATATCAGCTCCTTCCTAAACTATAGGTTGCCCAACCATCACCAATGGGTCTAGTAGTCCCCTTTGATTCACTTCATCTTGCACATGCTCATTTTCTTGTCACTTACCCACAATTACATAGCCTGTACTTCTGCTTCTAGTTCTACAACCAAGAGTCCCTGTTTCTGGATGGGCAATTATGAAATTATAATATAAAACGTAAAACACAGCAAAGTGAACATAACCAGAAAGCTACTGCAACAACAGAAACATGTAAATCATTCAATAAACTGATTAGTGATTATATACATACATATAAATTAAACAAATCGAAAGGTGCATAATGACACTGTATAAACGAGGTGTCGGTACGTAAACAATCTCACAAACAAGCAGAATCACAAGATCTGTTAGTGAGTGGAATTTTTAGTGTGTATAGTGGCTACTCTATTTGACATGTGGAAAACAGAGACGAACACATATGCAACAGATGTGTCACTGAAATGAGATATCAGATTAAATTTTAGTGCCAAAAATTTCAAATTTCAATTAGAAACTAAAATTATTTAATGATGTATTACTGATGACAAAAGCAATAAAACATCGCAGGCATCTAAGCTCCTAACATAAACAATCTAGGCATGCTAACAAACAGTCTATTTCCTACAAATCCAACAATACTAAAAAGCTCCAAGTGACCTTTACATCATTTCCATCAGGTGAGCAAACAAGCCGGTGTTAGGCCCGACAACGATACGCGAGCTACCTGGCAAATTCGCTCACCTGTGCGTTGATCATAAAGGTAAGCTAAGTTACCTGTGAGCAGGTTAATTAGAGCGGAGTTATTGGGCGAATCTTCTTCATATCCGGCCTGCGATAGCAAATTACTAGCAAGCAGTTGCTGGTAAAGTTCCACCAGCCAAGTAGCTGATAGGTACACCAGCACGCCGCTTCCATGTACCTCATCTATGAATTGCCTCTGCAAGAAATTCCACAGATGCAGTCTTGTCTGAAAACCCAGCCAATCCCAATTTCAACAAAATTCTATTGCTTCTATAAAACCCTTGGTAAAATCCATAAAAATTAGCTAGCCCTGCTTAAATGGTCACAATCTCGGACTGAGGGGGTGCAGGCTGCTATTTTCAACCCTGACAGAATACGATAGCATTCATCGTTGATATCTACCGAAATTTGACTCAATAAAAAAATTTGAGAAATGAGTTTTCAATTCACACTTGGATCATCCTTCATCCTTTCATCACGATAGCGTCGTTAGCGTACCTGGGAGACAGGTATGTTCGACGAGCTGTCACGATACCACCCGCAGTGGATCAGCTTCAGGTTGAAAAGCAAGGCAGAGTAGCAGGCCAAATAGACACCATCCGCATTCACTATCGCGATGTGTGACAATGAGTTGGCGTCACGAGTGTTGATGGACTTCTGCTTTTGCGCGAGTTCTGCAAACAAGATGTACGAGCGTCGCGGTACATACCCGCAAAAAATTGAAAGTGAAATAAAATTCTGAAATAAATTAAAAGTTCAACTCAAATTCAAAGTACACGTTCATTAGGTCGAAATGAATATTTCAGACGTTACTCCTTGCCGAGTGAACACATGAACATCAATGCATCGCCCTTGCAGATAGTCACTCAGCAAGGCTGGAATCAACCTTGCTGTAATCGTGTGTACGCGCATGTCGTACCTTCGCAGTAAGACGATGCAAACTGCTGCAGGGCGTCGTCGACTTCTATGGAGCTGCGTATCCGTAGCAACCGCGGCAGAAGCTCGGCTAGGCGGCAGGAGAAGTCGCGAGCGTTGCTGCGCTCCATCTCCGAAAACTGGTTGCGCGTTTCCGAGAAGTTTTCGATCCACTCGCGCTCCTGTATATTTCGCAAAAAGGAGATTTGATCTGAATCTTGTACGATAAAAGGTTGATTTTATTCAGTGTGCACATACACCCATGGCAGCACTGCTCTTTTAGAGCAATATTTCCGCCCTGCTCACTAAACATTACAAGCGATCTCGAATGAAAGCAAAGCTTCAGAAAATCCTCGAATTTCGAAATACCAGAGACAGGACCGCTAGACAGCCGTGTCCGCGAAATCGATCCGCGAACTCACCTTAGCTCCGTGTTTATCGAGGTTGTCCTTTATGTCGCTGTACTCTCGCCTCTCCTTCTTTTTCATGCCGACGACCGAAGTCAAGGACGCGACGCTGGCGCCATCTGTCGGAGGGTTTGCGGCGTCCGACGTCTCCGGTGCCGGTTCGCGTTTCAGGTCTCGATTCGCTTCGTGATCCTGCTTCTCAACGGTGGAATCCGTATCTCCAGCATCCGGACTGGCTTCTGCATCAGCGGCAGCTGGCTCCGGATCGGGGTCCGGCTCCTGCCATCAATCGCAATGAGTAACTTACATGTTTAAATTGTTTCTCTCAAAAGCGTAATGTATTATTATCATCGGGGTGCCATATATAGCTGGACGTCGGCTACCACAGATCGCCTAATGTATAATGTACCAAAAATTATCATTTGAATAACGAGATGATTTCGTAACGTAGCGATATTCGCAACAAATGTCAAATTTTCCTGAACGGAATTGTTGACACGTTCATGAGCTAGCAACTTAAATAATCAATAATAATGTCAAGAAATTATGTTATTATACATAGTAGATGACAGGTTTAAATCATTCATATTTTATTGACGGCTTTTATTCTGTAACGACTGTGTTGTGCTCAAGGTTACCACCTGGTAGTTTCTCTGCTTCAAATACTCTGGTAGATTTATAAGGAGTGTATTAATTATATATTTAAATATTATATTATATAGTCTCCAAGTGGATCAGTAAAAAACCACTGAGGTGCGTGCAAATAATAACTCTTGGTCTGTGACCTTTACCCTCATTGCTTTCGGCTTAAAATATAGCTAAACTACCCTGGCTTTAATCCCATTACTAGGTCATCACCCATGGTAGCCTATCGGCCCAAGCTATGGAATCTAAGCACATAGATTTTCTCTGCGGCAGTACTCAGCTTATTGGGGTGCATCGATTAAACAGGACTCTTTGTCCAAGTGGACGCTTATCTTCTGGCTGCGCATGTTAGTCTTCTGTCGTTCTATTCGTAGGCGTAGTCCCTCGCAGTTTCTAATTAAATTTATGTATTATAATTTCCTGTTTAATTGCCGTCGTTGTTCCGGTCTGCCTAGGAATTTTATTATTATTTATATGATATATTATATAGGTGTATTATTATACTACTCCTGTAAATGACGTTTAACGTTTTGACATTGAGTCTATATATTGAGTTCATCAGATGGAGTTAGCATTCTTCTATCTCGAAACTAGGAAAGCTAATTATCCTCGTGTGCACAGTGCTTCTCTGTTCGTCATCTTTCAACTTCTTTGGATTTTTCGTCTCATGTCTGCCAACATCATCTACCCAACTGGCAGTATTCTCTTGTTCGCCATGGTTGATTTAAATATCCTGCATACTTGGTTATGAGAGACATTGGCTAAGTCATCCTTCAGCATCGCTTACGAGAAGGTAATCAGAAATTTCTGTCAACTTCATATTTACTTGACTCTGAAATTGTATTTTAGTTCACTATATTTATTAATATCTATAGTATGGTTCATGTGAAATTTAAAGTTTTATTCACTATATTTTTTATTATATCATTATCTCGCTTTGAAGCTATGTGCAAAGTTACATACCAAATTGGTAAAGAATTAAACAACAAGCAATACGTAACGCATTAAATTGCAACGTGTCCGCTGTTCTCTGTCATCCTCCTTATTATTTATATTTATATTTTATATTTATATTTCGAATATTCATATATATTAGTTTATATTATTATAACATATGTGTGTTAATACATAACAGTAAAATGCTTTCAGTCACATAGATCCACTTAATGACTGAGCATCTACTGACTTTTTGTTCTCGTTGCTAGCTTTGCATATTTTGTGGCAAAATCCTAGCTGACTCTGGTGCGATCTTCGTTTGAGCCGCACCTTCCGACAGTTTTCTCTGAGTCACTCGTTCAGGCAGCTCGAATCTGTATCGCACTGAATTGCTATAGCCACGCACTCACGGCCATGTCACTTTTCCAGTGTGTACATTCCATCACTGAAGCTGTGATGTCTTTTGCTAAGACGACATGAAATTGCCTTTGTTGTTAATTACCATGGCACTGCTCGCAAAGCCGAGTCTAGCTCTACTTAGGATATCTTTTCTATCTGGTAATTTGCCGCCACATGTCAATCGACTATCCAGAGTACTCTTGGTATTTTGCATAATTCTGCTTGTGCGCATTCGCTTGGTATTACACAATATTATGGGATGTGGTTGAGTGTGTAATATGTCATTGTTAGAATCTTGGAGGCTAAACGTGGGAATTAGCATGCAGGATACTACTTTACTTTAACTATCAGTTACATGTTGCTAATCAATACTGTTCCTTAATGGTCTAAAGCGGTAACAGCAGTAGTTATTTGTGCGATATGTAAAAACGATCATGAATATATCCCAGGCTTATTTTCTGTATCTTGATGACGGGTTTGCATTTTCAAATTGTACTTTTTAATTTACGATTATAATCATTTGTGGAAGTTTAGGACATTTCCTAATTATTAAGTTCCTCTTAAATGTATTGTCAGTTTCATAGCAGAAGATCGGTCACATACTATACTTCATCTATTTGTTTTTGTTTTTTTTTCTCTTTCTTTTTTTTTTTTCTTTGTCTTTTTTTTTGTTTTTTTGTTTTTTTTTCTCCTCAGCTTCATCAATCGTCAATATTGAATAGGGTCTTGTTTCACGAATGATATTGTTCTATTATCTTCCCAGTGTTCCAGCCCAGGTCTAATTAAACTTTTCTGGGTTCTACTTAGTAATGCTTCTGCTTTCAATAAATTATACAATATGTTAAACTGCAGTTTACTTGAATGATATTTCCTAAATTTCCGGCTTATCAATATCCACAATTCCGCTTTCTTCCGGCTTTGTAAATTGTCAATTTTCCTCGACTCAAAAAAGAACTTAAAATGCATACAATCAACGTATTTACTTACCTCATGTAGGGTCTGCCCCGCTTCGATGTCCGCCATTAAATTTAACATTTAAGGTATTCTTTTGTGTGCCGCTTCTCGTAGTTTCCGCGCGTATCGTAAAGTTCATGTGTTTATATTGTTGAAATACGAACGTCTCGATCGATACGAAAGCGATCATCCGTGTCGTCATGAGATTCGCTGGAGCTTGGAAATTACGGCTAGTCTGTGAGTTAGCGCGGTTGCTGCTGCTTAATGTTGCTATTTTCTGTTCTTTGTTTCTTGTTGTAGTACGTGCATGATTATCTAATAATTGGCAATCTGAGGCACTGAACTCGGGAGAGCGACTAATTATTTAAAATTGATGTTGTCTGGTCTTAGATGAAATGTTAATTCTAAGTGTGAAAATTTGACTGCATTGAAGTAGCTTGTCGAATTGCCATTGAAATTTCGCGATAGCAGTGAATGCAAATCGGATTGCTATGATGGCAGATGGGAGATCGATCTACTAGGCCTTACTACGTGCTTATTATTTTGGTGAAATATTAGCTCTTATATAAATATATTTTAAATACATTTGGTCATTAGCCCGCGTACAGTTTTCCCAGTGCGCTATTAGTACAGATGCTGTTGAAATATTTAATTTATTGTAAGTTTTTTTTTTCTTCAAAACTTGCGTTTTTCCGCCGATTTCACTCAAAATCCGCAATCGCGGAACAACTTTGGAACTTAAGTTATGCATAAACAAGTAGACTCATTTGCCTTATAAACTGACATATAGATAAGCGGCAGATAGCATTGATAAATTAGAATCATTCAAACTTTTCAGCTTATTCATTTTCAACGTTTAGCATGCAATTTACTTTGAATTGCCCTTGCTTTCTATATTGCTTTTACATAACACATAAAACAAAGGCAATGAAAAGCAAAATGTTTTTCATTAAAACTCTGTACTGATCGGTGATTAAATCAGATAAATAATCCTTCTCGTCGATTTTTAAGCATAACACAAAAACATGTTGGTCAATATTATTTATATAAAGTGTTAGAACCACGCACTTATTTTTAGCAAGTGGGACTATATTTGCCAAAACATCGTACTTTTTTTGTTTGTTGTTTCACTGGACTTTTAACAGTGATTTATCCTTTACCTGACTTTACATAGGAACGTACCACGTAACAATACTTTAAAAGCAATATCCCTGTGCTACAATACATATATATATATATTAATTCCATATGATTAATTCGCAAATTTCTTAAATATTGAGTATACTGAAACTAGCTGCCGAGTTGCTACATCGTTTCTCTGACTTGCAACGTTCTATATAATATTATTATTTTATTAAATTGTTATAATATTTATTTATAAATATTATCAATTCATTATTCATCTGCATTTATTTGCTTTCCACTTCACGGGCAGACGTATGATTACCCCCTCCTCCCGCGCCCTACACATTCTCCTCAATGCACATATAGACTCGTCACAGTTTACTCCCGCTTACGAATTTCACGGTGCGTATCGCGTCGAGGCGGTGCTGCGGCGCGGGAAACAGCAGGATCTTGTGGAAGAGCGACTCGAGGACGGGACGCAGCGAGCCGACATTGCCGAGCAGACGAACCAGCTCCACAGCGATGCTGCAATAACGGCCGAGTGAAACGCACGCGTGAGGACTACGTTCATTCGTATTCTCGTAAATACTTCACCATACACTAAACCAGTGGTTCCCACCTGGGGTCCCCGGACCCCTAGGGGTACGCAAAGGTAGTACTGGTGGTCCGTGAGCTAAGTTCAAAATTTCAAGAGGCTCCAGCGTAAAACGTATAACTACTCACGATAAGGCTGCTAAAGATAAACTTTCAAAATTTCATGTTTTGTTGTTCTCGGCTGTAATATTAAATCAACTCCGTATGGCAACATTGGTTGTGCGCGGTAGATGTTTTAGCTATAAAATACAGACCTCTCAAAAACCTGGGGTCCGTGAAAAAATTTAAATAAAAGGGGTCCTTGGCGGTGAAAAGGTTGGGAACCACTGCACTAAACAACGCTAGACGGGTTAAGGTTTACGTAAAGTGTTTACACCGGTCTGCTACTACATGTTGTTTGCCACGTATTCAGTGATGTGCGAGCGAAACACAATCGTTCACCAAACTTACTAAAAATATACTACGGGCACCAGAAATATTCCGTACGTAATCGAGTGTAGTGACACATCCATAATGACCAGGGTATAGCAATTAAAGGTCATCTTTCCAGGGAGAAAAGTAGTGCACGAAAAACTTTAACGGTAAATGCTGTGGGTGGCCATTTTAATTTCATCAGCATTGTTTATCAACTTGTATCAACTAATACGTTACCGCCAAAATGTAATTCACAAGTGTAAATAAAGTAGTTTGAAATGAATTGAATTGAATTTTTCACACGTTCTCGCCATAAGGTCACGATGGCTACATTCACCTGTAAGCGGCCCTCGCCGACTGTCCGACTAGACTAGGTGCGGCGGCAGAACACGCAGATCCCCTCCCCACCTCCTCCTGCTCCCCTTTCAACCCCGACACCAGCGTCTTGTCGTTCTTCGGGTTGCCGAGGATGCCGATAAGAGAGAGCAAAGCGAGAGTAAGACACTACTACTGTACTTACTGACTTGCGCTATCTGGTACTGCCATTTCACGATGTAGGAGTCTCCACGGTGGAACTGACCATAGCTGCGCCTCTCCACGGCTTGTCGATCAAACTCATTCACATGCCAAACGTGCACATCCTGTAGATGGAACCAAGGTTAACCATTAGTAAGGTCAGTGTAATGGAAAAGCAATTTATTATTATAATATAATATAGTGTATATTATACACTCCTGGTAAAACGAAGGTGTGACATTGGCTATATGAGTCATCATGAGTGAGTTAGCATTCTACTACTCACTACTGGAAACTATGGAAAGCTAATTACCCGTGCACATGGCTCTCTGTCGTCATCTTCAGCTTCTTTCGGATTTTCGCCATGGCCAACATCATCACCAACTGGCACATCGCCATGGTGATTTAAATCATCTGCTACTGGTTTATGAGAGCCATCTGGTAGCATCTCAGCATCCTTACGAGAGGTATCAGAAATTCTGTCAACTTCATTTATCTGACCTGAAATTGTATTTAGTCATATATTTTATATGTCTATATATATCGGTTCATGTGAAATTAAGTTGTATTTCACTATTTTAATAATATTATCTAGGCTATAAGCTAGGCAAGACAACCACAATGGTAAAGAATAAAACAAAAGCATGATCATACGCATTAATCAAACTGTGGCCCTTGTTCTCTCATCCTCACTTATATTATAATATTATATTCATATTATATTATTATAACATATTGTGTGTTAATACAAACAGTAAAATGCTCAGCACATAGATCCAACTTAATGACGATGCACTACCGACCTTTGTTCTCTTCCAGCTTTGCATATTTGTGCAAAATCCAGTTGACCTGCGACTCGTTGAGGCCCACTCCTTCCGACAGTTTCTCGACACTCGTCAGCAGTGAATCGACGCACTGAATGCTAGCCACGCACACGGCCATGTCACTACAGTGTGAGCATTCCATCAGCGAATCTGTGATGCTGCAACGACAGATAGTGCCGTGAAGACATGGCGCTGCCGCAAAGGCCGAGTCTAGCTCTACTACGGAATCTCTATCCTGGGAATGCCGCCACATTGTCAACGCTACCAGAGACCGGGGTTTGCCATAATTCTGCTGGCAGCATTCGCTGGTATACACAATATAGGGATGGGTGAGGTAAAGCATTGTTAAGAAGCTGAGCTAAACGTGGGCATTACATGCAGGATACTAACTTACTAAGCCTCATTACAGTTTGCTAATCAATACTCACTTATATGGTCTGAAAGGGTTTAACAGCAGTACGTATTTGTTGCGATATGTAACGATTCATGAGATACTCCCGGCTTTATTTTCTGTACCGATGACGGGTTTGCATTTCAAATGTTTTATTACGATTATAATCATTGTGGAAGTTCAGCATTTCCTAATTAAGCCCCTTAAGTATGTCAGTATCATGCAGAAGAGCACATACTATACTCACAGCTTCAGCAATGCAATATCTGAATATGGGGTCTTGTTCATCGAATGTATGTCATTATCCACAGGTCCAGCCAGGTCTACTAAACTTTCTGGGCTACTTAGTAACTGCTCAAAAAGATACAATATAAACTGCAGTTAGCTGATGAATATCTCCCATTTTGCATCATAGCAAGCCGATTGCATCACCTCATCGGAAAATTCCATGGACAAATTCGCGCTACTGCGAAGCATGTCAATTCACACTTTGAATTAACATTTACTATCTAAGGCTCAGCCAACCACCAATTCAAAATATTAGTCTCTCGGATTCAGTCTGCCTCGATGCCAATTTGCTTGATACTCGCAACGTACTACCACAGATAACAGAAACGGAGAAACGCCGAGGCCCGCTCTAATCTTAACGGCAGCGTACTTTCGCTCCGCGATCCTATATACGCCACGCTGATCGTTGTTCGATTACGAACGTTCGTTTCGCTCCCCATAGTAAACATCATGCTACGATCGCCGCGAGAATCTCACAGAGCAGCACACAAAAGAATCCTTATGTTAAAATTTAATGGGACATCGAGGGCGCCTACAATGAGGTAAGTAACTAGTTAATAGTATCTTAAGTTTTTTGGGAAAGTTCGGCTAAAAATTGCCAAATTACAAACGCGGAGAAACCCGGAATTTTTTGGATATTAAAGGGGAAAATTGATTACTTCATCATGT